GCTGTTAACCGAAAGGTTGGTGGTTCGAGCCCACCCGGGAGCGAAATCTTTTAGCTTTTTTTACCTCATAGTTTCCATTTTTGGTTTCGTGAAACATGTTCTTTTCAATGGGCGTTGTTAGAGAGTTCTGTTTCTTATAGAAAAGCCATTCATCTTCATCTAAGATGACCCTGCAATGGATTGAGCTTAAGACTCAAAGTGAAAAGTCTATAAACTTTAAACCCGGATGATCAATGATAATAACACAGTTAATTGGATCAGGAAATGTATTTTGTAGAAGATATTCGAAGAAATGTTTCTCCCCAAGGCTTACAAGCAAGTTATGTTGTAACGTAATACCTGAAATGAAAATGAGATTGTGTTTTGAGGTCATTATCAGCTTCAGTATCAACCTTGAAATACTGCTTGGAGAAGCTTAGCTGCTTTACTTTCATGTCGCAGTTTGCGATAAGCTTCGAGCTGCTCATCAAAGATGAATTTCTTGAACATTTGCTGAAACAGAAAATGTGCGTCGATGAAGAATTGTTTCAAACCTTCTGAGCAGTCAATGGAATAGTAGATTTGAGTTTCTCCCAATCACGCAGCCGATCATGAATTTCTTCGTTGAATATGTTATCATAACGTTGCTGTATGTCCAGCCTGAATAAATCAACGCAGCTGATAAGGATATTAAGAAAGCTGATGTAACCTTTGAGCATGCATGAATCTCTTCAAGGCATCTTCGTGTATTGGATTAAGAGGCTTAGCTAGTGTTCTGTAACTGTCAACCGAGTTCTCCCCTATCCTTTTCAACCTTCTAGTAACCAGAGTAGTATTGTGACTGTATACCATATCTGAAATAACAGTCTTATCTCTCTATGCTTATGCCCATTTAGAACAAGAATGTGAGGAGTGTTGCCGTCTCTGTTTGTTTAGGAAATGATCGGCTTCTTTCGCTTAAACAGCATAATATCGCAAGCATAGCCGGATTTTCAAGTCATTTCCCGAGACTTTCAAACAAAAATCTAAAATTAATGTTTGTGACTGAGAATACACAAGCAATCTCATCAATTTCCGCATTAATTGACAGTTTTACATACGGAAGAAAAACAAAATATTTCGTTGAGGTGACAAGCAGCGAAGGAAAGACCAGATATTGGTCAGCTGGAGCTTCATCGTCTAGATTTTACATCCAGTTCATGAAGACAGTATATAAGAGTGACCAATGGCTCTAATGAAACAACCCACTACCTTTCTCTCTTTCAATAACAATCATGAGCTTTGCTATCAAGATTGCTCTTGCTACTATTTTCCTAGGAGTCGTTTACCTAGGAGAAATTCAAGTAAGCTGCTTCAATATACAGTCTCTCATCCTTTCTGCCATAGGTTCAAGCCGTTCCTCTAGGAGATCGATCAGCTGAATCGATAACCGAAATTGCTGTCATAGAAACTGATAATGCCTCATCCCCTGCTACTACCGCCATCGACACTTTAGGAGAATCCAATACTCGTGTTAAGCGTCAAGGAGGAGGATGTGGATGCGGTTGTGGTTGCTGTTGTTGTAGACCAAGGTGAGAAGCTTGATACTTCTTTTAATCATTAACTTTTCTAGATGTTGCTGTTGTTGCACTCGATGCTGTACTTGCTGCTGTACCAGATGCTGTACCTGTTGCCGTCCATGCTGCTGTAAGGAGTTCAGCAAACTTTATAAACAACTCTTCTCTCTTTAGGTGGTTGCGGAGGAGGTTGCGGAGGAGGCTGTGGAGGAGGATGCGGATGTGGATGCTGCGGATGTGGAGGAGGAGGACGCAAGCGCAGATCTCTCCAACAGCTCCAAATCAGATTGGCCGATAAAATCGAGAAGGAGAACAAGTAGGAAAAGGAAGCATATCACATCCAATACTTGCACATTTTCAGCATCCCAACCCCAGTCGAAGTTGCCCCAGTTGAAGAGACCGCTGTTGAAGTTGTTGTCCCAGAAGAAGAATCTGCCACTGAATGGCCAGCTCCAGTTTTCGAACTTGTCACCGAAACCTATGCCTAAGCCTTCTAGACTCTATTTAATAATTATTCAATCGATTCAACGATAATTATATAATAATATCATAGTATATAGCTCAATAAATTATAATATAAACAAACCGATTTGATTACTGGACGGGTGGCCGATGTTTGCCATTTTCAAGAACAAGACGGCCATAGTAGATTTATGGTCAGAAACAGCAGAGCATACAACGGGGCATTGAACCATGCTCTGAACTGCCTCTTTTCCAGCTCTCAATAAGCTCTAGAATCGGTATATGAGTTTCATGAGTTTGTCACACAACATACTCGAAGTGGTATTCGAGCTGTGCCTTGCAGAATCAACGATTGGGAATCCCATATATCTATTACCAATGACTCGCTTCTAAGATATGTCAGAAATTCATCAAAAGATGAAAGCTTCGATGATTGTCGATCAATGATATATTTGATCTAAAATTCACTTGAAGTTCTATACCCTCTATCTACTTACTGAAAAGCCTGGGGGCCACTCATTCTCCGAGTAATCACTATTTTCAGACAGACGTCTCAACACGTTTGGTCCGTTGTGAGCAGAATCGGTTATCAGCAGCCTGTTATATCATAATTGTTTTGTTTATTTTCAGATAATCTTACTCTTCTGATGTGATCTCCGCAAAACGATAGAAGTTGACCGTGAAGAAGATACGTCGTGGTTGAACAGCATCAGGTCGATTCAAACTGAAGTAAAGTATTTGCATCAAATGATTTCATCAGCTTCCGCATACCACTTGTATGACAAGAACTGAAGAATTATTTCGTTTGTATCTAAACGATCATTTTCTTCAATCGCATTGTTCGAAGAAGATACGGCATGAATATCCACAAGACTTGGAGCATCACCATTACGATCAAGAATGGGCGCGAACTGAAAAACAGCTTGGTGCATAGGTAAGGGTAATTAGCATATTAAGGACGCCGCATTGCAAAGTCATTTTGAACGTTTCAGTAAGCAGGAACGGTTGCTTTCACTCATACAATAAGGTTCGATTTATTGAAGTTGTTCTCTTTGCAGAAAATGGAAATCTACCAACCTTCTCGTTGGCTAACGAAGACATCACTGCTCTCGACATATTCGCCGTTCTAGAAGTACGTTCATTATTCATCAAATGGGTTTAGTATTTTACTTTGATTCCCTCCAAGGTATTTCATATACACTCGGCACATTGTCTCTTGGACTCGGCTCTTGTATTTCATCAACATCGAAGGCTTTCTCCATTGATTTCGAGAAATCGGATGTTGTTCTAATGGCTGGCTTCTATGTGTGGGAGATTGTGTTTGAAGATCAAAGAATTGCATACCTTCACCAGAATGCTTGGTAGTTTCTCTTGACTCAATGGGGTTGGCTTCACCACTTTAGCGGAAACTATTTCCATTTCGTTATTCTCATCTTCCATGGTATCTTCCATCATTTGTTCATGATGTGGGACGGGCGAAGGGATTCGTTGATGAGGCGTACTGATCAAACTCTCCGTTGAAAGCGCTAATCGGGAAGATGGTCCAACATGTGGTATCTAAAATTATCATATAAAGCTGTCTTCTTCAAAGATTACCATATCAAGCAGTGAGAAAGTGAATTTTATGAAGATCTTGGGTGCACTCTCAACAAGAGCACTATCATCTCTTCGAAAGAGGTGTATAAGGTTCTTGAAGCATAGGCTTTCCTCTGGGTTGGGTCGGGAGCCACCAATTAACGAAACTATAAGAGGTTCTATCATCGTCGTGTTATATTTTCCTTACCGCTTGCTTGGATTCTACCCCCTTCGGCTACTAATACAGGGTTTGCAAATGGTCTCCAAGCTCCCCAGCATATTATCATAGATTGGGTGTGACTACTTATGTTATTCTTAATGAGGAGATTATAAAAGATAGTGTGAGAGTCTCTAACGTTTTTAGTTCTAACTCCCAGCAAGTAGTCCAAGGCGAACACCAACGTCATGCGCGAATCTTCATGTAAGCTTGGTATCGAAACTTTCGAACGCACGAACAAAGTATTCAGTTCCGTTCTGAAGTTTAGATTGCTTCACAGAAATATTATTAAAGTTAGCTCACTTTAAATCCGTCGAACTTCTACTCAATGGCCGACCTTTCCTTCTTAGAGAATGACTTCCCATGATCTGTTCATCGAGAGAAGATAGATGAACCATCATAGGTTCGAAGAGAAATGTGTATCCATTGTGAACTCCAATCTTCAATTTTCATTTTACTATAAGGATTGAGTTTCCGTGTTACCCTCAGCCTGCGCTCAAGAACACACATGGGATCAGCTTTTTCTTTATCTGTACTGTTTTCCAAATAGATTCGCTCGGTATTAACCTTCAATGAAAGTATTAAGATTCATATATGCCTGTTCTCACTTCTTCCAAGATCATTTGCTCTAAGCGATCAGCATAAGGGCCGAAAGATAGACCGATGTCATCAAGAGAAGCCGGTACAAGAGGTAATGGTGTAGGATTAGCTAATGCGATGGTGTCCCCTAGAAATACTCAATTAGGTCATTAGGTAACAATCAGCTGCTTACCTGAACGCCTCAAACCAGGTATTTCATCATTCTGTCCAACAATGCAAAAATCAGGGAAAAAATCGAAAGCATCAGACAGTTTGGGATGACTGTAGAGAAGGAAATCCAGCGTTCCAGACGTTGCTGTCTCGGTTTCAAGCTTGGAAACGAACATCAATACTTTAGGTGAACCTGGATGCAAATGTAGTCTACAAAGAAACAAATTGAAATGTTCGAATCATAAATATATACCGCTTATGAGGTATCCCTTGAGGAGTTTTACCGAAAGTAGGTATAGGTTCATTACTGATCAATACAGGGATAGTGCCCCAAGCAATCGTTGTCGACTCATTGCTGTAAAATTAGTTTTTGGAAAATAAGATAATCAAGTTAAACTACTTTAAGATATTCGAATCCTCTACAACTTCAAGAACGAGCATGATGTTATCATCCACTCGAGGACAATGGAAGAAAACCATCTAAAAGTATTTTTTATATTTTTTTGAGAAGATAGAACACTTTACCTCATCGAAAGTACATTCATGATGAACAGGCTGTTCCCACTGTGAGTAGAAAGGACATCCAAATAACTGAGTTGTCTTCGAATCATAAAAGTAGGCGTTTATACGATACTTAGACTCAGGATGCAACTAAAAAGGATCTGGATTGGAAAATACAAAAGAAAACAACAAACCTTGGTTATGTGGAGCTTTGTAAGAGAGAGAGCAAAACCTTCCGTTGGTGAGTTCAGAGGAACTTCCCGTTTCAAAGGAATGCTCCTCTTAGCAAGGAAATGACTGTACCAATCATTAACATTGCTCATTTTCGAGATTTCAAAGAATCATCGTATGTATCATTGAATAATATTTAGGTTTGAGTATTAACAGAATTGAAGAATGCTTAGAAATAACAAAGACAACGTACGAGGTCAACGACAGAGAAGCGAAGGTGGTTGCCAAGCAACTTGCCAGATGGCATACATACAGACGCAAGGCATGGCGATATCTATTGGTTGTGAGAGATATCTACCTGCTTTTCAGAAATTGGACTTGTATCCGCTATATCATATGCAACTGATTAACTGATGAAGTTTGAAACAACTAGCTGAATGAAGTAAATCATTTATATCTTCCAGCACAAATATACTTACAAATGGCAGTACGAGGTTAGTGAACATGCAAATGGCTATTCATTAAGGATAATCCTCTCGGGGGTTATTAGAAAAAAAGATGGTAGCCAAGGTCAAAATGGCAAAGTTCACAAAATATGTTTCGATTCACGAAATAAACTAAAAAACGAAACTCTTATCTTTTTTTTCTTTAAAAATAATAGGAGACAGGCAATTGGCGTCTTTTAGCACACTGGCTATCTTTTTCACAGGAGACATTGGAGAGAAGGACGTCTTCTTCTTTTGTGATAATAAGATGTTTTTGAACTTTCTTGGAAGAGATGTCGAAAATACATTCTCGTCAATGACATCTTCTATAGGTGAGTAGTATTGAGTAGCAGCAGAATCAGGGGTATCATTGAACGTAAATGCTATATCTTTGAATTTTTTCAGTTCTGCAGCCGTTTTAGATCTTGCTCCGATCGAATACTGCAACAGATGATATATGAACAAGAAAATGAAAATGAGAACTCACTGAGGGTGAACAAATTGAAATGGTTGATGTCCAAGGACTTGGTCTATACACAGGCGTTATGTCGAACAAGGGCGAATCAAACTGAACCAACATGATTATCACTGATTATAAGTAATTAAACGTACGTCTAAATGGGTTTTGAGCTTATCGACTGCTTTAGGTAAAGGTCGGGATCCGGTTAACGTAGCCCATCCATGAGCGTTATCCAATCGATATTCTTGCTCATAGTCCTGTGCGACTGAAATGGTTTGAGGTACGTCAAAAACTGTTTTTATAGTATTATACATTCGTTCCGATCAGTTGAATTATCACTTGGTTTCTTCTGGTTTGGATTTTGTATGCTCTGAAACTAGTCATTCAGGAATTTTGCGCTTCAACTTACAAGCAAAACAGCTTCTTGATGTAGAGCTTCATCATCCTCCATGTTGTACAGAGCCAGAAGGCGTTTGACTACTTCTGCATCTGATTCTTTCTGAGGAGAACGATCACCACCGCCAAGCATGAACTTCTTGAGCGAGTTTCTTTTGGGGCACTTACAACGCTCAGTCATAATCGAGTTCAACTCTCCTTTCATTCTAAACGTGTGAGTGTCATATTTTGAAGAGAATTCATTTGTACTTTTTCTGCTTAGCAGCTCTACATCTAATAGCTTTCCTTTGTTTACGAAAATCTGATGAGCTTCTAATGGACTCTTTCAGTTTTCTTTTTTGAGAATCTCTCTGTAAAGGAGTGAACGTAGAAAGCCTAGGTTTGAATAATCCTTACCCGTGCACATGTATCATCCACAAGATCAACTTCCGACAGTACACTTGAGCACGACTCTATCGTCGCGTTCATAGGCATTTGCGGCTGAAAGGGAGAAACGAATGTAAGTCAAGCATCTTTACATACTTTTTCTAACTTCTCGGGATACTCGTCGCAGCTATCCCTGCGCATCCAACTGAAGAAACCTAGCATAGCACCAAAACCAATAAGAAATATCATCCCTCTCCAGTCACATGGTTTGTATCATATTTTGAATGGATTTGGCGCCTGTTTTTGATCTACCGAACGGTTGAACTTCTTCTGTTTTGGTTGTTATTCACTAATGAGGCTAATGAAGCAACACATTATGAGATGCGATAGTACGTGTCAGGGCTTATAATGGGAATTGCAGAGGAATAATGGCAGTGTAGCATGCATATGAAACCCCAGAACCACCGAACTTTAATTATAAATTTTCTTGGAATGAAAAACCGACCGCTCTTCTCGGATGCTAAAGATCGAATGCATGTTCGGGTTGTCTTCATTCGAACGTTTCATTCTAGTATGGGCGATCATGCAGAGCGGTTGCTTCTTCAACTTAAGTTCTCTTTAATACTCGTTTTGCAGATATTCAAGATTGGTTGTAAACATTTCTTTTTGAATTCTCAGTTGTAGTAAGGTAGAGAAGGTAACCAGGTATATCTTGATGTTCTTTTTCTTTTTTCTTTTTTTTTTCTATTTTGAGCATCATGTACTCATCATTCTCTTCCCATCGTTTCCATGTTTCCTAATTAATAACGTGTTTACATTAATCTCATTGATTTCGCAATGTTCTTGTTTTTGTTTACTATACATAGTTCGTAACTGTTGGCCATTATGAATAGCTCTCATCAACAATGTGACTGTGTGGACTGTACCAGAGTAACTCCTGTTGCTATGCACATGAAGCATGGAGCATTAACTCGTTCTTACGATGATTACCTATGTAACATCTCGAGACTGCATAATTATAATGTTCTAGTGTCCTTCTTAGTCATATAATGTATTCTGTTTGGGTTTTGCATATGGCATATTAAGAATTCTTCATTTAAATTTTTTTTCGTCAAAGTACGCAATCTGTCGTGAGCGCATTCTTTCAAATTTCGAATTCCTTCAAGAAATTTATTCATGCTTCTTTCTTCCTAATATGTTCCTTCTTTGATTATAATGTTTCTCATCTTCATTTACATTCAGGTTATCATCTAACAATGGCTCGTAATGCTGAGAAAGCTATGACGGCTTTGGCCCGTTGGCGTCGTATGAAAGAAGAAGAAGAAAGAGTGTGTTATGAAAAAAAAACAAAAATAAGAATAGATGTAATTCCAGGGTCCCGTTGCCAGAAGACCAATAGACGTTAAACAATGTGCAAAGTTAGCTGACGCTGAAAGATTCAGAAGAGAAGTTTGTTTTGGTTCATTAACATATTCTTGAACATGTTTTCAGATTGCCAGAGATATCTCTAAGAAGATTGCTTTGATCCAGAATCCCGGTTTAGGAGAATTCAAAATCAGAGATATGAACGATGAAATAAATAAGTTACTACGGGTTAAAAACCAATGGGAACTGCGGATTATGGAATTAGGGGGGCAAGACTATCGGTAGGAGGCAGTTTGATTTGTACCCTCATTACTTGTTTCAGGAAATATCGACCTCGAGAGTTAGATAAAGATGGTAGAGAAGTGTCCACAGATAAAGGCTATAAGTACTTCGGAGCAGCTAAAGATTTGCCGGGAGTTCGAGAGCTATTTGAGCAGTCGAAAGAACTGGATGTAATTGCTTGTGTCCTGAATAAGGCTTTCTCATACATGAACTTCAGAAAATGAAACAGTCACGGGGAGATCTAATAAAGAATATCGATGCAGATTATTATGGTTATCTAGACGATGATGACGGGCTGATAGTTCCGCTCGAACTCGATGAAGAAGTTCGAGCGATTCAATCAGCGAAAGAGGTATGAGAGAGGAAGCCAAGTCAGGTCAAGAATCTTTTTCTGTTCAGAATTTTGCAAAGAATGGAGGTGAAAGACTTCCCAAGGAGTTTGGAGATGATGAAGACGACGATATCTATAAAGTAGAAGATTCTGACGAAGAGGATATTGATACTAAAGAGTCTGTGGTTGTTGGTGAAGATGGCAGAAATATGACCATTCGTCATGCAATGGTAACATTTTCTTACAAACGAAGTTAATTTTGAGATTGTTTAGGTGCCAAGTCAGAAGGAGATCGAAGAGTTGATTCTCGATAGGAAGAAGCAAACTCTTATCGATAGATATCTTAGTTAACTTTTCAGAAGTTGCTATAAACATTGAATTTCTCCAGAAATCGTCTTATCGTTACACCTTGGTCGGTCTCATTTTCTATATGCTATTGTTATTTATTTGTTCCATACAAATGTGTACAACGGAATGAAAATCTAAAAATGAACGCTCATAAAAAAACAAACAAGAATAGAAGAAATGATTGACGACGAGTTACAGAAGTCGTAATCTGAGCACAAGCAAGTCTTTTTTCCAGTTGTCAGTTCTGTTCGACAACCTTCGGGGTGATGAAGGTGAATAAGAGAATCGTGTGGGAGACATGTAGCTGCTATGGATATATGACGGTTAGGGTGAGGTCTGAAAAATAATGGTTATCAGGTCTTAACAGATGATCATTCACCCCTGTATCCTTAAACAGGCTGCTCCTTCACAAATACCACATTCGTTATTGCAATCTGTCCCGTCTATGCACCATAATGTAGAAGCTTAAAAGATTGCTTTACTACTTGAGAGTTCTTCAGGGGGTATTATGTGTAGTTATGACAATACTTACATTCAGGAACTGCTAATAGGAATAGGAACAACACGAGGAACATGGGCGCATTGCCGACGGTCAATGTACTGAAAGAGACCGCCTTGTAATGACCAAAGCTTCCGGTCCAAAATCGCCTAAACCTAGAAGGTATAATATTACGTGTTGTTTCACATTACAACAGCACTACGTAATAAATAAAAGAAACACGCCATGCTGCAGGAAAAAGTATTTTATTTAGAAATTAGAAAACAACAACCGTTCTGTGCGAGACAAACATTGCAAATGCTGGACTCCACGTGAGTGACGTGGTTATTGTTGGACCTAATGCGTTATGTGTTTACTAATTTGAATATTCTAATTTCGAGAGCGAGTAGTTTTCTTGACAATGTGAGTCAAGAAGATGTTTTCTTATTCCAGTTAAAATTATAAAGAAAAGAAGAAGAAGAAGAAGTAACAAACGAATAATATGAGAGAAGGAATGAAGATACGAAAAAGCTGAAAATGGTTTGGTTCAAAAACTCCAAGATTCAGTTAAGAGCTATTTCCAGAGTCTTTGGCAGTAGCTTCTAGACAGCATGCTCATTTCCGTTCACGTAATTAGAAGACTTACTTGACCTTTTTAGTGAGAAGAAAAGAGTAAAGCAATAGCCAAAGAAGCTACACATTGTATTGAAAGAGAGAAGATGACTATGTTGTTAGGAACGTTTATTAGGTCATATGTGGAATGTATACTCATATGCTAAGAGAGAGAGATATGAAATGGTCAGGATAGTTTCATTCAGCAACAGCATGTATGTCATTGAGGAGAGTTAATTCAACACGAAGTTCAATAATTACGAGAAGGAGTTTTAAATTTGACGTGTTGTTCTAAGAATTATTAATGAAGAGCTATGTAAAAGTTTCTCATTATAGTTTCTTGTTCTCATTAAGCTTGAATAATAAAAGCTGCGAGAGAAGAAGATGAAATAAGAAAACGTTGAAAGCGACATGAGGACAGAAGAGCACAACAACTGCCATACAAGGACAATGATGATGAGGACGATGGACTGGATGTACGAAAAAAGAATATAATTAAGAAAATTTCGTAATATAAAAGAAGTCTGCTCAGCTATTCTTCACGGAAGGGGTGTAAGTGCATATGAGGTCAGTTAATAAGTGAAATACAGCATTAAAATTGCTCTAGGATTAATTAGACTACTGCATGGCCAGTCGTGTCAGATAAACTTGGCTACAGGGGCAATTTGAGAATCGAGCAACTTGTAAGTTATTCATTCAAAGAAAAATTCTCGTTGAAGGAGGACCGAAAGCCTTGTGAAGGACGAATTTACGTAGTGAACGCTGATGCAACTGACAGGCTATAAGAGAGGATCCTACGGAATTACAATAAGCATAGAATTGGAATAAAAATTGCTGAGAGGGACAAGCATTTAAGGATGAGAGAGGCTTGTTTCATATGCATTCACAGAGAGACTTTATTAAAGTAGAGGAAGAAGCACAATTGAAGCATGAAATGCACAGTAAAGCTGCACAATGAGCTGCCACCTAGCATAATATCCATCTATGTTCATCATATGTGACGAAAGAGACTGAAACGTAGGAGAGTATAATTCACTTAATGATCTTTGTGAACGTGTCTTCTTGCAGACTGTTGGTAGTAATCTGAGAGAAGAAACAAAACAGCTGAAAACAATTGGAGTTCGCAAGCAACTGAACATGGTTTTTTCTAATTTTTTCGAGTGAAGAGGAGAGGGTCAGAAGAGAATGCAAGTATCGCTTTGAAAAAAAGAACAGAAATCGTATTTCGTAAATTGCCTGTTGACTTGTTCGCCATCCGCATAATAATTCGAAGCATGAGAGATATGGAGGGCGGAGGAGAGGAAACAGAGAATTTAAAAGTTGATGAGTATCCGAATAATGGCAACTAGACATCGAAGAACTATATTAATCATTATCTCAACGTATTTTTGAGAATTTTGATTTTGCAGAAGAGTCGTTCATATAGATTTTTAAACTTCCATACGAAGTGCTCTAGATGTCAAACCTCTGGCATGCAAGCGAAGCTGAGAAACCTTTATACTCTGATGATTCCATGAATATAAAACGGATAAATGCTTTCCTTCACTGAGTGTTCGTTGATAAACTCTGTTTCTCTCTCTCTCTCTCTCACTCTCTCTCTCTCACTTTCTCTCTCTCTCTCTCTCTCTCTCTCTCTTCATCTCTCTCACATTCCCTCTTTAACCTTAACAGCTCAAAATGGAATCAGTTCACGGTGGGACGACAAACAGCAATGTGAGGATCTCAATATTCATCATCTACTTTTTTGAGTTTCAGTTTTCTGTTTTCTCTGACGTCTTCCGTGTCTCTTCGTTCATATGGAATTTCCAAGATGCAAGGATATATCACGATGGATGTCAAGCTGAGTTCCATGCTAATAAATTTATGAAGTATTGAGGCAAGAGACCAATCCCACATCTTCCCTGAAAAAAGCAGTCAAATGAATTTCAGGAAAACAGAGTGTTTGAACATTAGTACCTAAGTCTCATTAACATTCCCTAGACCCCACACCTCTCCTCCCCTTAGTAGAGTGCTAAGCGTTCTGTAATCATTTATTCAACAGTTATTCACAGAACAATTTTCTTTCAACAGGAAAATAATAAAATGAAATATAGGGGCGATACCCTTTCTCAACCAACTAAGCTCGTTCTATCGACCACTGTTCATTTGCTTTCCTTTTGAGTAATTGATTAGAACAACAAATTGTCCATAGCGCACTACGATCTCAGAATATAAACTTCCATCCTGGCGTTTGAATATATCCCAGTATGCTTCCCACACAGATTAGCCGATTCCAATTCTTCAGTTTACAACAACATTCGTAACTGTTTAGAAGTGAAATTGTGACTGAGACACAGTGGAAAGAAACAACCCATAGTATTTGGTTGACGGTTGGCTGACATGCTTGAATCCCAGTATGTGAGTTCATAGCTATTCTCAAACTTTAAGCATACTTTCCGGAGCAATGATTAGACTTCAACGGTGTTTTCTTCGTAATCGACGTTTGGCGTACAGTTAAAGTTCACCAGCCGTGAACAGACCAGTACGGAATGCAACCTTTCTGAGCTTATGCGATGTAGCCTGATTTGCCCAGGGTACTATCGATGTATCATGAGCCGATGTTCTTACATCCCGCTTCTTGAAGCATCTCAGAAACATGTGGGCAGCTCCGTACCTACTTTTGATTTCACGTTATCTTCAAGTAAAAAAAGGTTTGGAAAAAAAGAGCCGTTTTGATATTCTCAATCAGAATCAAATGCACAATCTGAATATCTGAATCATTTTGAAAAATATGCTAATTCGTTCATCAATCTGTGTCTGGGCAGACACCTTGTTTGGAAAAGTTCCAAAATGCACGACGTGCCCTTAAAAACATGTGTGCAGTCTAAGAACTATTTTCAGGGCACGTTATCTTCTACAGGTAAACGGTAGGATTGAAGCTTATAAAACTCGGAACACAATTATTCTGAACTGAAGAACTGTTCAAGCATATATGATTAGTTTCGGACATCTGCACTCATATATGCGCTACAGTTGTGTGTCTGACCAGTGACGCCATTACCACTGTTATGAAATCGTACGGATAAATCTTCCTTCACTTGTTGTAAATCATCGGAGCAGGTCAAACATTGTGAGTTGTTCAATCCAAATTTATTTGTGATGTATCACTTGTTTCGTCATCAATTTGTTATACTTCTGGTTAAGAGTTGCTGGTCAGCAGTCTTAGGTGTGTCCTTTTCTCGAATTATTCCTCGCTTGGTTATGTTTCAATACAGGATCCGGTTGTACTCTCGATGCTTACCAACTCTCTTCCCTCTTAAACAGATATCATTGCTCAGCGTCTCTGACGATGTGATCACGAACAGTACAAGAAGCTACTGTTCTTGATCTCAAACGACGAGAAGTTGATTATGAATGAGTTCATACCTGGGTTGTACAGTCAAAGTTAACCTGCCGTGAACCGACCAGTAAGGAATGCAACCTTTCTGAGCTGGTTGAGGATGGAATGCTAAGTTCTCTTCTTTTGTTTATTTTTTGTTTTCCTGCAGCCAAGTTTTCCCCAGGGAACTATCGATGTGGCGTAAGCCGTACCATAAGCCGATGTTCTTACATCCCGCTTCTTGGATCGCCCACAAAGTGATACGAATGAAGCTCACCGACTGACACCGCTAACTGATGTATTTTGAATCTTTAATGGCTTATAATGGACCCGTGAGAAGCCGTGAACTACGAGTTACGTGAAGCATTTTTACGTGAAAAAAGAATGAACCGGTTGTTCTCTTGAAACAGCAGGTAAATGTTGATTCTGAAAATGTCCACTTCATTGAGCATTTGCAGATGAATGTTTCAATCTTAACAGCAATATGAGGTTAGTTTTGAGTTAGCATGAGCTTTACCATATCTCTCGTCTACCTGTTGTTTCTTCAAGCAGACAAGACGGAATAGCTGATCCGCGCTTCTTTTGATTTGGAAACAGGTATTTGTAGTTCGGTTGTGCTCATGCTTAGAATAAATTGTAGGACAATCGCCAGATATTCGAAAATGAACTGAGTTGACGAGAGTTCGTGTCGATGGTTTCTTTCTTTGTACTAATTGTTTTTCTATGTTTCAATTCTTTTAGGGTCCGATGAGATCAATGTTCGAAGTTCCTCGTATACATTTCTACGACCAGTAGTGGAATCTTCATAAACCGCCATGTTCAGTTATCATTGAGTGAGAAGAGACCTACATTGGAGAGCTTCATTAGTTCCCCGAAAAGGAAGAATTGGAATACTGATGAGTCAGTATCTTCATGCTTCTTCTTATGAGCTCGTTCGAAGAATCTCAACTTGTTCTTGTTGGTGTTACCTGCTGATCAGATCATGTGTATTACCAAGCAAGCGGAATATGCTTTGTTGCGTGTGGCAATGAATGGAGAGAGATGTAGTCACAAACAGTTGTTTTCTGCTGTTACAAGCAAGTTTATAGAAATTTTTTTTCATGGTTTCAAAGATCTGTTCTAGACACACAGTCGCGTACAGCTACCGATGGAAGTTTTTGTTCTGATATTGTATTGCTTATCCTCTTTCGGAATGTTCACCATATTCATCTCCATGTACCTTCTCTTGGCTGTTCCCACTAAACTGACCACTTTCTCCAGATTTGCTATACACGGACATGACTTGGTGTGAGTGATTACCATTTTGCAACTTCTCAGTAGACACATTTACAGTGCTGGCTTGTCCCAACTCGTTAGTACCCTCGGAATACAAGGGCACATTATATTTCCTTGTGCCAGTGGCTATAACACTGGCTTGTTCACTCAACTAGGAATATTAGATTCATTAAACCAAATATGGCTGCAAACTATTCTCACCCTTGGTAAACGCCATTACTTCGATATTTGTATGTAGTATTATTGTTTTCAGCCACTGCTTCGTTTTCTTTATTACTCGTGCTCCAGCGTGCCTTCGCAGTTACAACAAAAATCTCTGAGAAGTGGAAGAATGTTTGTCTCAAAATGTTCTTACTTACACTCGTTTTGCAAATTATTCTGTCGCCTATCGTTGGCCTTAACCTGACAGAAGGCGGTGAAAGAGGACGGCAGATGTGTGAACAGGCAAAACTCCTTGCCCTTCTATCCAACAAATCATTTCTTCAGAAAATAAAGCATTACCCGGAAGAGATGAATACTCTACATGGTATCAATATGATAATGACGCAAAATATTTTCAATATTCTTGCACTGCTGTATATCGTGTTGTATACTCTCTTCTACGTGCTGGTCGCAACTGTCGGAGGCACAGTTTTGATTCGGCATATCGGAGAACAAGGAAAGATGACGCAGTCTACTCACTTCATAGCCAATCAGCGTAGAATAACACTCGGTGTTATATACTTCGTAAGGAAATTTTGAAGACGTGGTATGAAACAGAATGTTCAGATGATCCTGGAGGTGATAGGAGTTGGTGTCCCCGTTGTATGTTTTATTGTCTGTATCGCTTTCAATATGGGTAACATGTGTAAGTGTTCAGTTTGAATGCTGTTTCACATGTCAACCCTGCCCTTTCAGTAGTTTCTCATTACATCGTCATCAGCTTGTCTGTTTATCCGATCTTCAGCCCGTATTATGTTCTCCTGTCGAACACTGATTATAGGGAGAAGGTTCGTGGTATATTGAGAAAAGGTAATTCCGATCACATGTTTTCCTTTCTTTACTCTCCATGTTGTAGCTCGAGAGATGACACATCTACCTCGTTCTCACTCAGGTACTGTGGTCATCTGATGGTCATTACATAGTCCTCACTTCATTAGACTGAATTCTGGATCAGTATTCGTTGCACACAAAATAGGAACAAACTCAACTTTATGAGTTTCTGAAAAATAAATATTTGTAGTATAATGTAGTACAACCATCTGACATGTATCACAAGAAGGTAAGATCGAGAGATTGTAGGAACGCGAGAAGAAGGGGCTTCTCGTAAAAGAAGTCAAAGGATCTAACATGATAGTACATTTGGTAGCTGTCTGGGATTCTCGAAATAGCGTTCTTCGTCGACTGGGAGTGGAACATCGAGCGTACGGAACACACTTCGTGAATGAAACAACTCGGAAAGGACTTCTGTTTGAAAGAACTCAGTGATTAAGAAACACAAAGGGAGTTCAGAGGTATAACAGAAACTAGAACCAAATGAAGAAAGAGTACCCAACATGAAGAGGGTGAGAACAAGTCAGACGAACAGAGAGTTTTCTATGAAACGCCTTATCACGTACGTCTTTTTGATTCTTCAATAATTGAAATGAAATTCATTTTGTATTTCTCTAGAACAATTAACATGTTTGATCCTGATTGAAGAGATTTTTTGAAGTTTGATATTGTATTTAACTGTTAACTGTTAGGATGAAAGAGAGATGAAGATAGGAAGAAAGAGAAGCACGTCATACAAGGTGGAGCCGTAGGAAGGAGAGAAGAGAGTTTCTGCTTTAACCTGAAATTAAAATTAAATTGAAAGAAATCTTTAGTTTTACGTGAAAGGGGGACGTTTACACTCGACCTATACTCACGCCATGTGCTGAGTATAGGCCTGGTAAAGCTATGAACCCCAAACATA